GGAGACTGTGACTATACCAAAGGCTACAATACCTTGGTCTTCATATCTTATACTTTTAGATTCTGACCGTCCATGAGGAGTTTGGAAAGACTTGTTCTGCCAAGAACTCATATCTAGCAATCAAGTGTATGAAGGCCAAGATGTCATGGCCTTCAGGTCGCATCCTTTTTTCGCTTTATATTATTTGTCATACCCCGTTTTTACAACTTGGTATTGCCGTCGTGAAGACCTCCAAGAACAATCCTCATTCGGCCTTCCTTGCAAATTTTTCAGTTTTGGTATATTTCCACATGTTTCATCGACATTGGTCCTTGCCAGTCAAGCTGTGAAGAGTGAAGTTGGTTTTGAAAATTGTAAAGCTCAATAACGAAGCCGCCTGAGACTAGCGAAATATCTAGGAGCGTACCAATTTTATGGTCACTTACTGGAAATAAGCACTATTACTTTGGCAGAGGAAGTCGGAATAGGTTCATTCTTCAAGTTATCTCTGACACTGCAACCAAGTTGCGAAAAAGAGCTCAAACCCAGTACCTCGTGAATACCCTAAGTCCCATTTGCCCAAATCCATTAGTTGCATGTAGGAAAATCGGCTTAATAGCCTTGGCAACCAAGGTATTCTTTATTACTATCCTCTCTGCATTCCTTTCTCATATTATTTTCAACACCTTTAATGGTTGCTACTTTCTGGGGACCGTAGGCAAGAGAGAAAAGTAAGTCAATATAAAAAAATTTACGAAAGGTTGGAATCAGTTGCGCATTGCAATAAGCATTAGATACAGTTAGGGATTAGCTTGTCAGGCAAATGTACGAGTAAGCTTTAGAGGTCTTCTCTAATTTTATATTCGAGGAAGCCCTTGACAAGGATGATGCGCAAGGGATTGGAGAATGGACGGTACTGTTTAGCCAAGTCCGGGTGTCAAATGTTTTGCTTGAGGGAACAAGCGGGTAGTACTAGTTAAGGTGAGAGATATGCGTCTTTGATAGGTTACAGAATGAAGATAAGAGCCTCCTGTTGGTACATTGGCCCACTATAGTCGGATCACTTCACAAAGGTGGGAAGAATTCGACTCTGCTGAGGGGCAACTCAAGTGTGCAGATGTACAGTATACCCGAGCCGTTTGTTGGCTGGAGGCAACACGACTTCCTGATGGAAGCCCAGCCCGACAGAGTCGAGCAGACATTTTGAGACTCTTTCCACTCCTTGAGACTGTCTTCAGGGCAGCTGGTACCTAGGGCCTTTGCGGAGTGTCTATCAAATAAAGTTCAGAGTCGTCTGTCCATGCTGAGTCTGGTGGCCGTATTGCTGCTGTAGGTGGTGGTAATGGTGCTGATGTTGGTGCATATAGTTTACCCAGTCGCAAAGACCATCGTTCGGTCCTTCTGTGAACAGCTTGGCTTGAATGGTGACCGGT